TGAGAATTAGTCTTCCAGAGAAGACATAAAAAGAAAAAGGCAGGGAAAGGGTAAAGCTTTATGTCCATTCCTGAGGAATTGCAACTATCTGAAAGTGACTTCTTTTGGTCCTGTAAGCAACATGTCCCAGGCACACCTGCGGAGAGTGAGCCATCACGACAGCAGTGTTTGAGATGGACCCCAAATTCCTGCACAAAACCTTAACAAGTCACCCCAAAGTGTCCTTTCTGCTCCACACTTCCCAGAAGCAGTGGAGAGATCCCTTTGCCCAGATAGCTGCTGATCACCTTAGTGACCTCCATCAGAACTCACAGTGACACAGCAAATGCAGAGAGTGCAGAGGAAGCCCACGTCTCCCTCCCAGCCCCTGCACAGAGGGGGCAGGTCTGGGGAGCTGACAGGTACAGACAGAGCCTTTGGAACAGCGTGAAGGATCATATCCTACACTTCCCAGAGCAGACAGTCATGAGTACCAGAGGGAAAACACTCCCTGCTCAGGCAGTACAGAAGGTGTGAGGGAAGGAACAGGAGCCCTCAGGAAGTTGGATGCCTCCTTTCCAAAATCAATCACTGTCAGGAGGAGCTCTCACAGAATGAGGTGTGCACAGCAACCTGTCACCAGGGACTCCGAGAGGGGATATGGTGTCAGGAGCAATAAATAGACCCCAAAGAAGTCTGAGGCCATAAACACATGGGGAAAAAGGTTCACAGAATCCTAGAATAGAACCCTAGCATATTCTCAGTTGGATTGTGGGGCCCCTTCAACCCCTGTCCCTGCCCAGCCACCCCAACAAGCCCACCCTGAGCACCCCTGGCAGCGCTGTCCAAACGCTCCTGCAGCTCTGGCAGCCTTGGGGCCGGGACCATTCCCTGGGCAGCCTGGGCAGTGCCCAGCACCCTTGGGGGAAGAAACTCTTCCTAATATCCAGTTTAAACTCCCCCAACACAGCTTTGTGGTAGTTTTGATGAATTCTTCTCCCTTGCACTCTGAGGACAGTTACATACAGTATCACAGGTGGGAGCACCCCAAGCTCACACAAATATTCCAATAAGGAATATTCTTTTTAATATTACCATGTGCTGCTATAGCACATGAGTTTGGCAGCTTTTTGTTTTTAATAATTCCACCAAAAAGCAGTTTAACTCTACATTTTCAGAGCTTTAGGACAGTCAGGGTTAAAAGTACCAATACTTCAGCAGAGTAAGGGGAAGACAGAGAAACTAAAACACACATGACCAACTAACTTTCAGCTTCAGCATTTGGTCCAGAAGGACTAACAGCCTGTGTACAGCTGCATGGACAGCAGGCTAAAGATGACCAGGCTCTCTTGGAAAATTTAGAGCTATTGAGTAGAAGCACCTGTGCTGTGCAAAGTCAGACACCCTGACACAACAAGCCATCAGCATCTGTGCTGCAAGAAACTGAGCAACCTCAGAGGGACCCAGAGGCCTGCATTCCTGCATTAACAGGTACTGAAGGAGAAATGTTTTTAAAAAACTCACCTGTTAGAGGAGTCCAGCCCAGAACACTGGCTGGGAACAGAACCTGGATGTTGCAGCAAAGTCAGGCACTGACCATGCAAAATACAGCATGAGACAGATTTCTTCGGCTGGATCATCTCCAGCACGAGGCAGCTGCTCCAAGAAAGTGGACATTTAACATCATACACATCCCTGGAGAGGGAATCAATGCAGAGTACAGGTCTGGCCCTGCAGTGTCTGCAGGCAATGTTGCAGGACTACTGGACCAACCCCAGACTTCTCACTCTTAGCCCCATGAGCCAGAGCCCAGGAAGAGAGGATTTAATTGATGGAATCAGGTCAGTGGCTACTCACAAACCTCAGCAATCATCATGATAGGCCAGAAGATGCACCAGTGAAAAGTTACACTGCAGGCTGGACACTGTGCCATACTATATTGTGAAGTGGAACTCAGCCTTCTAACATTTCCCTAGGGTTCAAAGCCCCAAGGCAAGGCTGGTGGTCAATTAAGGTCTGCCAGAAAGAACAGTGTCCAATGAATGCTACAATTCTCTTATGAAAATCCTGGATGTCCAAGACATACTCGCCATAAACACAAGTACAATGAGCAGCATAGCAACAATCCAGTATTTGCCTGCTGACTCCCAGTACTGATTCACCCATCACAGGCCAAGCAAAGCCATGTCTGGAAGTGCTGAGGAATGCACTACACCAACTGGAGAATGCAAAGCCCAGCACTCTATTCCTCCAGTATGATCAGGAGGAGCCCTGCATCCTTCTAATGCACATCTACTATGCACAAGTTTTTCTGTACAGGTACTGAAAAAAAGGCACAAAAAAACCAGAAAAAGAAGCTGTCACATCTCAAACAACAAACCGTGTGACTAGACACAGAGTCACACCTTCATCAATGGTTATAATCCATATGTACACAAACCCAAAAGCTCCTGGTAAGAAATGTGAACTGACACTAGGGTTTGCTGCTCCTTTCACCTTCCTGTAATGTTCATCACTAGTGAGACAAAGGATAAGCAGTGTGGAGGCTTCAAGGAGCTTCTCTGCATTTTATAACCACACCTGGGAACACAGATTTTTCAATACTCTGCTGCATTTGAAGCAAAATGCAACAACATATGTAATAATCATAATAAAATAATTTGCTGAAACAAATCCAAACTTTCAAATCAGTTATTGAATCTCAGTAATCAGTCTCCAGACATCTTATGCCAGTTCAATAAGTCATGAAAAACTGCATTCCAAGCAGAAGTATTTTTTGCCCCACATTTCATTAACAGACAATAAATTGAGAAGAAATGTATGTATCATTCAATGTTTTACAAAAAGCAAGTATTATCAACTAAACATTGATTTTTAACTCTGCAAACACAAACAGTAAAGGGAATTTCAAAGACAAAATACTCTGATTATTAAAACTTGATAGGGGCACCAAAAGCTATGACTTCATCAAAAAAGTCTAACTCAAACAAAAGCAAAAGGTTCCCTCCCTCCTGCCCAGGCCACTCAACCCGCTCTATCTCACATGCCAATATCATGACTTATCTGACCAGAAACCAAGGTCAGGGAGCTAAACAGGTTTTTCTGCAGCTCCAGTTTCCTGCTGTCTGCCACAGGGTCAGAAAAATGCAAGTGGAGGCACAAGAAAAGCAGAACTGTGCCACAGGATTTTTCTGTTCAGGAGCTGCTGCACATCCACATGTTTAACAGAGAGTTTGAGAATAAAGAATATAATGTGAACATCAAGGGGCAGAAACAAAAGCAAGAGGAAGAAAAAATGCTCAGTAGGAGCCAGTTCTTTGGCACTGATATTCCAGAACTATCAGCAAGCAAGGAGATGACTGGTAACTGCTCCTAATAGTGTTGCAAGCAAGTGAAAAATTAGATAGCAACAAAATTCAGTGGCATAACCACAGCAGCCACACAGAATCCAGCACCTGCAACCACTTTAGAGGAAAGCCAGTGTTCTGTCCACAGGCACTCAAGGGCTCTCTGCAACAATAACAGCAATTTTACTTTTCATTCTTGAGGTTAAGAACAACCTTGAGCACACAAGTGTACGTTTTGGACTTTACACTACCCAGCATTGTCAAGCTCCAAGTTAAAGTCAACCAGACATTACCAGAGTGTTTGATTCTACAGGTACCGACAGAGCAGGGTCTCAACTTCAGAGATTGATTAAGTCTCTTGCTTCCCACTGAAAACATCCTTCTCTCCCATGCAGGTCATTCTGTGCTTATTTTACAGTCTAAGGTGTGGGTCAGCTATAACCTGCTATCATTGAGCAAGGGGTCTTATTCCTTGCAAAACCAGCCTTCAGAGCAAGCCTCAATTTCTGAGTGCTGCAAAGCACATGACAACATCTGCGACAAACACTCACTTGCCAAACATTCAAAGAAATCACTATTTATGTAACTATTTTACCATGACTGAACATATGCATCCCTTAAGTAGACATATAGACAGACATCACGAGATACTTCATCTGTAAGATGTCAGGAAAGCCAGAGACATGGAAATCAGAGAGGCTACTGGGAAGAGAAATTCTGAAGTTTTTAATTATTCAGTTCTCATGGGTATTTTCAAGCAAATAAAGATGACGCACAAAGAGCTCTCGTGCATTCCAGCAGCTCCTCTGCAGCTTTTACAGACTGGGGAGCAGTCTCCCTTAGGGATTAGATAACGATCAGTATCGCTGGATTCTGAAATACAACACTGAGCATGTGCAGCAGAGAATTCCACAAGCAGCGAGCTGCGGGCTGGGAACAAACACCAGAGCACAGCTACTTAACAGCACTTTTTTTTTTTCTCCTCCAGAAACAATCAAGTGCTCTCACTTGGTTCTGAACAAGAATAAGCAAAACTTGTAAATTAAGTATTTTAACAGTGCTAGAATTAAAACCTCTTCAGAGAGCAGCTAAAACCTCCTGCAAGTAAACAGATATGGAAGCAGTTGCTCTGTCAGCATTTGTTTTGCTTCAAGGAAACATTAAGTTTCACAAGTCAGAACAATTCATTTCTCTCATATTTTAAAGCTACTACTACCAATCCTATTTAAGGAACTTACAAGTTAAATTCCACAACAGTGATAAGACCTACAGCCACTTCAGAACTCCAGCACACCTTTATTTTACTGATCAAAATCAGAACAAAAGGTTTGTTTGTATATTCAGAGCGCTGGTGGAGTCAAAAACACTCAAACTGCAGGAAGAATAAATCAGCGAGGGACTAAATCTAAACCAGTTTTAGACCTGTCTATTAACGTTCAAATATGGGAACTGTACTTAGAATTCTTAGCCACACACACAATAGTCATTAACTTAACCTTGAGCATTCCATCCTCCCAATACCCAATCCTGGCATCACTGCACCTCCAGGCAAACTTGTCAATAGTTTGATTACACACAGAAATATTTAGTATTTCTAGATTAAGTTGTATTTAATCAAGTATTTGCTCACGCAGTCTAACACAAAGTGACAATTTCTGCAACACTACATCATACCTGCAACTTTGTCCCGAATAAGTTTTGCAGATTCCACTTCGCCGATGCTGCTGAACAGACTCCGTAATTCATCCTGTGTCATGTTCTGAGGAAGGTAGTTCACAATTAAATTTGTCCTACCAATATCATCCCTGCAATCTTCAGCCATGTGATCTTCATAACCATTGGACATTTTACAATATATCTGCAAAGTAAAAAAATCTTCAGTGAGGTTAAATCTTCACATTTCCATTAAACAAACTTCCTCCACCTGAAATAAGTTTGAATGTTTATTTTAAAAACTAAGAACAAGCCACTGCTTCAGCAATGCATTTTTTCAACTCAGAAAACAAAACACTATTTGTTGAAAATTCCAGAACAATTCATTCTTTCAAAAGCACAAACACGACATTTTACAGAACTATGTACCATTAACAAGCTCTTCAGGATTTTTAATTTTTTGCATGAATAAAAAGCATCAAAGATAGATTTTGGAGACATTCCTGTAAACACCAAACTATTCCCAACAGCCAAGGTAAAAATCGGGACCCCCATGTCCAGGTACTTGACCAGCCACAACCAAAATGCCACCTCAACCTGAATTTCAACCTTATGCCCAGATTTTTTCAGACAGGAAGACAAGAAGCAGCAAGATCTGATCCAGTTCAGTGTTTTAACTGGAGACTATTAATTTTCTGAATGTTTTCCCCTGTAAACATTGTCCATCCTGCACCTCAAGGCCTGTTACTGTTTAATGCTGCCTTCAGTGCTGCTTTACTGTGTGTATGAAACTGGTGAGTCTGTGCTGCACACTGACTTGGGGGTACATTGAGAATTTGACTAAGTTTCTATTTTTGCAACTTTTTAAAAAAAGCCTTGAAAAAACATACAGAATTCCTATCACAGGAAGATACTCTCTGCCTCAGTCCACCATCAGGGACTGAATCCTGATGTTTTAGCTGACCTACAACTAAAACGCACACCAGATTCAAGCTGCTCATGGCTTGCCAGAATTCTAGTTTTTAAAGCACTTCAACTACTTTGAAATAGTCAAAATCAAGATATCTAAATCCTGTTTCTGCAACAGGACCTACAGATCTGGATCTGCTAAAGGATAAGCCTTTCCAGGGTCCGTACCATGACTGACAGCCTGAAGTTGAATAATGGAAGAAGTCAGAAACATCAACCAGAAATCCTCAGTCTAGAAAGGGAATGCTCCCTGCATGAAGGGATATCCAGGCCCCTCACCAGCAGCTGCTGTTAATTCATGTCTGACAGTGAAGGTCAAATTTTTAAACAAATACCTGAGCACATGATTATAGAATAAACCATGAGAAGACTTATGCTAATTTGAGATTTAACACAGTATAGATTTGAACTGAATCTTTATCTTTTCAGTATTTGTTGAAGCATTAAGAGTTGGCAGCTATTGCTCCCCTTCACCCACAGATCAGGTTCTACCCCCATTTTTGTGTTTCAAGTGTCAACATGAGCCTATTCCAGCACCCTCTGCCCATGGGATAACCAATCTGTACTGTGAAAGCAATGGAAAACCACACAGGAGGGAAGCTCTTTTTGTTGTGTCAGCAGTTTTAATCTGCTTTCCTTGCAGCAAGATAAGCACCAGTTAATGCCACAGGATAGGAAAGCAGGGGGAGGCACTGCAAAGCTGGAAGCAGGGGAAGAGACTCTCCCCTCAGCAGATAATTTCTAAGCCGCCAGATCATCTCAGTTGTACTGCAAATTCTGTCATTAAATACACGTTCCCTCCTGGCTCTGTCAGAACTTGCTGAGCACAATCTCAGAGAAGTTTCCTGTTCTGGTAAACAACACTCAAACAGCTGAACCGTCTGTGGTCACCATGTCTAAGTTATAAAACAACATAACACACATTTTCAGAATTATCTGAATAGAAGGCAACTTTGCTTGCCTTTGTGCTCCACAAAATTCAAGCCCTAAAAACAGAACACACCAATATGTTGATGAGTGCAAGTTCTATGGCACAACTAGAACATTTAGTAATGTTAGTAAGCAAAGGAAGAAATGTTGAGATTTTTCCACCTATAAGAGGAAAAGGCTAAAATTTCCTTCATTTTAACCAACTTTGCCTTTTATTGCCATTTATTTGTTATATAAATCCTTCCCGCTGCTGAGATTAAGAAATTGCTATAAATTCTAATGATTTCAAGAACAGATACTTAAAAGATTGGGGTTTTGGGATTTTTTTAATTCTCCAGGGTGTATCTCTGCCTGAAAAGAAGGCACCACAGTCAGACATGAAGCAGAGAAACCTTCCCAGCACACCATGATGGCAAGTTACCACACTTGTATCTGGCATAAAGAATAATTGCCAAGAGTTTGGCAAGTGGCTAGTGACATTCCATCACTGTCCCACATCCTCTAACCTGTGTCTGCAACACTCACAGTCTGCACCTCCCAGGATACTCAAGCAATGCCCGGGGCAGTGCTGATTCAGAGCCACTGGAAGGTGGGAAGGAAGTTTCCACCTGCTTTTCTTCAGGCTTTTAGAAAGCAAACATAGGAAGCCCTTACATACAGGCCTGGCAAAGGTTTCCATGGGATACCAGGAACCAAGCATGCAGGAGCAATAAAGGCACAGTGAAGAGCTAGAGGAGCAGAGTGCTGAGAGAGAAGATGATTCTTTCTTCCTAATTTCTTCCTGAGCACTTACACAATCTGCTGCAGGACTAACACTGTCCAGCCAGCCTGGAATTTAGTGGGCACCACTTTCTCTGCTGTTGAGGTGTTAAGGAAACTCCCCCATTCCACCAGTCTGATGCCACTCCGGGGGTCCCACTGGGGTCCCCCAGACTGGCAGTGCTGGGATCACAGCCCCTTTGCAGCAGTGGCCCCAGTGACCCCACAGGCCCCGTGTGAGTCCCCACACACCCCACAGTCCCCCAGTCAGACTGGCTCCTCTCACCAGCTCAGCCTCCGGCTTCCCACAGCACAGTGCCAGACTCCAGTTCCTCTGTGGTGCAGTGACACAGAACAGCTCGAGTGGTGCCCCTGAGGAGGGACCCCACACAAAGCCCCCTGGGCTGTGCCCATCCTGATGCTGATGATTAGTCCAGGGACTTGTCAATGTGTCAGGGGAGGTTTAGGTTGGGTATTAGGAAAAGGCTCTGGAAGAGGCTCCCCATGAAATGGTCATGGCCCCAAGTCTGTCAGAGTTGAAGAACCCCCCTGCCAGAACAACCTGCAGCTCACACTGATGCTGCCAAACTGCACCAGGTGTATTCCTCAACAGGTGAACAGTTCCTATGCCAGCAAAGTTAAAAAGAGCCCTTGAAGAATTGTAACCTCTGCATACTAAAAAGATTTCCAAAAAGAAAGGGAGCTGTAAGATAGGATGAATGAAAAAGCAATGCTACACTGGAAAACAAGTTTTTATTCTGCTCTCACTGAAATACACTGAGGGAATGTCCTGATTTTCTCTACCAAAGAGATAAGAATCCATTTCTATCAGGAAATATTCCAGATTTGAGAACCAGGCCTATACACTCATTTCCAACCGACGTCTGTCAATCCACAATGGCATATATCAAAAGACTGAATGCATTTATACTGCCAGTGGACAGGTCAATGATGGAAAGAAGGCCCAACAGCTCCATTTGGGAAGGCTGACTGAAAAGACACTGGTAGTTTGCAACCTTCCAAAACAGACCTTCATTTTTATGTCCCAAAAAACTAAAGCTTTAAGACTAGGTTCCACTGCACTGAACTTCTAAAATGATAATTTTTTAAAAATAACCAAATGCTGCAGAAGCTTGTTTGAAAAGGCAGCAGCCACCTTCTTCCTTGGGAAAGATGCCCCAAAATTTAAAATGCCAAGGGTGCACAGAGTAACAGAGGAAACCATATGTGCTGTGCCCGAATCTTCCACTTGTTCTGGAGGTGCTCGAATCCACACAGGCCAACACTTCACCACCTGTGCCAACGACTGCTCAGGCACCCTCAGCCAGGCCAGCATTCCCAGGACTGGACTGAAAAGCTCTCACGAGCATTATTTGCAGAAATGTTGCACTGACCATGACAATCACCTTCTTCCAAAAGCGCACCAGATCCCACAGGTTTAAGGGCACTGGCAACAGACCAACAGAAGTTTTTGCCCAGTGACACTCTGTATCTCTGTCCAGAATTCTAGGAATGACTGCTATTAATTATTTCACAGCAAGATGTTTGCTAAGAAGGAAGACCTGTATGGATCTGTGGAGATCAGGTGAAATGAGAACACTGGCAAGAACTGCCCGTCTTCAACATCAGGCAAGAGGCTTTGTCTACCTTCACCTTATTCACAGGGTTAAAATGGCACCAGACCACTACTGAGGTCACAAATTCATATGTAGACACCTAAACAGATGCTCACAGAATGCCAGGAGAGTTGGGTAGGAAGGAACCTTAGAGACCATTTCATTCCACTCCTGCCATGGCAGGAACACCTCCCACTGTCCCAGGGTACTCCAAGCCCTGCCCAGCCTGGCCTTGGGCACTGCCAGGGATAGAGCAGCCACAGCTGCTCTGGGCACCCTGTGCCAGGGCCTGCCCACCCTCACAGGGAACAACTCCTGCCCAATACCCCATCCAGCCCTGCCCTCTGGCAGTGGCAGCCATTCCCTGTGTCCTGTCCCTCCAGGCCTTGTCCCCAGTCCCTCTGCAGCTCTCCTGGAGCCCCTTCAGGCCCTGCAAGGGGCTCTGAGCTCTCCCTGGAGCCTTCTCTTGTCCAGGTGAGCACCCCCAGCTCTGCCAGCCTGGCTCCAGAGCAGAGGGGCTCCAGCCCTGGCAGCATCTCCGTGGCTTCCTCACTCCAAGAGGTCCATGTCTTTCTTGTGCTGGGGTCCCCAGAGATGGAGGCAGCTCTTCAGGTGGGATGGATAATGGATCAGCTAGAGCAGAACTTAAGATGGGAAATTCTTCCTGGATCAATGAACTCTGTGGCACAGAGCTCATTGTACCTTGCCTGGAGCACTGGGAATGGGCTACAGTGAGCACAGCATGGTCCTTAAACCACAGCAGACCTGAAGCTGCTGACCCAGCTGCTCACCCAAAACCTCCATCTTTCTTTGCAATGAAGTGCAAGTCAGCATCACCCAGGACACCCTATACAGGAAGGGCTCCAGTGGACCATGCCTGACAGAGTCCCTGAACTGGTGAAATCTTGTTGGTGCCTTCAGTGGTAAATGAACAGGAGCCCTGAAACCAG